TGAGCTCCACAGCTCAATGCCCACACAGCCTACCCAGTCAGTATTTCAGCAAAATGCTGGTGGTCTCCACCCTCTGGGACCCTCCCTAATCTTCTCCCCTCCCTAGTCTCTGCCCTCCCCTTCCCCTCCCTGGGGCCCTTCCTCCAGACAACTTCCGCTCCTCAGACTTTCTTCCCTCACTCCTGAGAATCTTTGCTCTCTACAGATAATCGGGAATAGTGAGCTATATATACGTATATATATGCATTTATATATGTACATTTATATACACACACGCAAGGATCAGTATATATGTATGCATATATCTATTGTTTTTTTGTGTGTGTGATGGTCCAGAGGCAGGAACTCAAGGCCTGGGACCCTCCCTAATCCCAGAATCACTCTTCTCCCTGGTTCCTAATATTCCTCCTGAGAACTTCCACTCCTCATTCTTTTTTGGTTGTTTATGTTTATTGAAAAGGTTAAGAAAGAGGGCTCACACTTAAAGACTGAAGGCCTTTCTTTAATCACAGAGAGAATTTCTTACTTCCTTCAGAAATTTGGATATATATATAGATAGATAGATAGATAGATAGATATGTATATTTTGTTTTTTTGTTAATCCTCAGGTTTGAACTCAGTGCTTGGGCAACCAAGGTGAGCTTTTTCACCCAATATCAGTGCTTTATCACTTGAGCTAACACTACACTTCTGGCTTTTTAGTCCTTCATTGGCAATAAGAGTCTCACACACTTTGTTTTTCTGGCTGGCTTTGAACTACCATCTTCTGATCTTAGACTTCCAAGCAGCTAGTATTGTAGGCCTGAGCCATGGGCTCCTATATAGCTACCTGGCCCTGTGTGGTGTACAGGAGAGTCAGTCCCTCTGAGGGCCCTTGTTGGCCAATCCTTTGCCCCTTTTGTGAGGGCATAAAGTGCCAATTTGGTGTTTGATAGCCATGTGTGGCCTAGTGTAATTGAGATTTGAATGTATTCAGGAGATTGCTCTTCTCACAAAATGGCTCCCTCCTTCTTTTTTTTTTTTTTGTCGGTCTTGAGGCTTGAACTCTGGGCCTGGGCGCTGTCCCTCAGCTCTTCAGCTCAAGGCAAATGCTCTACAACTTGAGCTACAGGGCCACTTCCGGTTTTCTGGTGGTTTACTGGAGATAGGAGTCTCATGGTCTCTCCTGCCTGGGCTGGCTTTGAACCGCGATCCTCAGATCTCAGCCTCCTGAGTAGCTAGGATTACAGGTGTGAGCCACCAGCGCCCCGCTTGGCTCACTCCTTCTTAATTTGTTGTTGTTCTTCTTCTTGGTCTTCTTCAAATTCTTCCTGTTCTTGGTCTTCTTTTCTGGCTTCTTCTTTTTTGATTCATTTTTATGAGTGAATGGGGATGAATTTTTTGGGTGGTTTTATTCATTTATTTATTTTTTGGTGTAGTCCTAGGGCTTGAACTCAGAGCTTCAAACTGTGTCAGAGCTTTCTTTGCACAAGGCTAGCCATCTACCACTTGAGACATGGCGCCACTTCCAGCCTTTTCTGGACTTGTGGTAATGAGGACGGGAACTCAGGGCTTCAAGCATGCTAGGCAAGCAGTCCACCACAAGGTCACATGCCCAGAATCATTTCTTCCTTTTCTGAATGCTGGGGTGGGAACTCTGGACCTTTGCTTGCTTGGTGGGCATTTTAGCACTTGAGCCACAGGTCTATTTGCATATTTGGGCTAGTTGATTGGAGACAAGAGTCCAATGGACTTTCCTGCTCAGGCTGACTTGCAACCTGAGTTCTCAAGGTATCAGCCTCCTGAGAAGCTAGGATGACCAGTGTGAGTCTCCTGTGCTCAGCTACATAGAGTCATTTCTTCCTTATTCTTTGAGAGGACGGGAGTTCAAGGGTAAGTTGATGTGTATCTTGGGCACAGAGTGGAGTGAGCTCAAGGCTGAAGCATGGAGATGTTGTCCTGGGGTTGGGAGCTGTGCGCGCCTGGCAGTTCAGGTTCTGGGAGAAGATACTTGTCCAGGCTGGAGGGGTCTTCATACCCAGACACGCCATAGACCCGGACAAGCTCTTCTGTGCTGTAGGGAAGGGGCGCTGTCCAGGATACCTCCAAACTTTCCAGGGGCTGGGCAGCCAACGGAAAACTGAGTCCAGGGCTGGTAGGCGCTCCAAATTCCTGGAGCTCCTCTGGCCCTTGGTGGGGCTCACCTCTGAAAGGCTGCTGAGGGCTGAGGAGGGCGGCCCCGGGCACCTGCACCCCATGAGCGGCCTGGCAACATGAGGCTGATGGGCACACAGGCGGCTTCCCGGCTTGCTGCTGTTTCTTCAGCTTGGCCTTCTGGTTTTTAAACCAAACCTTCACCTCGATCTCGTCCAGCTGCAGCCTGGAGGCCAGCTCCTGCACCTCGTCCCACTTGGGGTGCTGGGTGTGTTTGAAGGCGGCTCTCAGCTCCTGTAGCTGGTGCTGTGTGAACCTGGTGCGGCTCTTGCGATGGGCTCTCAGCTGCTCTGCCATGGCTGCCTTGGCCGTGTCTGCTGTAGCAGCCAGGTGAGTTGTGCCTCAGCTCCACAGCTCAATGCCCACACAGCCTACCCAGTCAGTATTTCAGCAAAATGCTGGTGGTCTCCACCCTCTGGGACCCTCCCTAGTCTCCTCCCCTCCCTAGTCTCTGCCCTGCCCTTCCCCTTCCTGAGGCCCTTCCTCCAGACAACTTCCACTCCTCAGACTTTCTTCCCTCACTCCTGGGAATCTTTCCTCTCTACAGATAATTGGAAATACTGAGCTAGATGACTTGGTAGCTAGCTAGGTACATATATACCAGAAAAGACACGTGTGTGTGTATATATATATATATATATATATATATATATATATATATATATATATATATATATA